ACACGCAGGGTCTGGTCAGCGCGTGAGTGACGGTGCTCCAGGCGATCGCTGCAGATAGAGGAATCGAACTTCCGCTCATGTGTCGGGGGGTGATTTGTGTATGTCACTGCCCACTGAGGCCACATCCCGATAGGTGATTGTGTGTGTGTTTTTTTAGAATTGTATATCTGTGTCCGTGTGTGTGTGTGGTTGAGGTAGCGCCGTGGTCGTCCGCTGCTCAGCGTGTCAATGTGTGGTGTGGGGGGGGCGGTGCCATCTTGGTTTGCGGAGGGTGTGCGAAGGCGTGGAGACGGCGAGAGAGGCGGTTTGTGTGAGGGGAGTGCGGACGCGGCGTGCAGGGCGAGTTTGAAAGCGACGGGGGGGGGTGTGTCCGCTCGCTGCGTTCTGTTGCTCCTCGACTCTGTTTAGCTGGAAGATTCTTCAGACTGTCTGGGTGTAGCTCGCCCACCGCGTTTGGTGAGAGTGGCTGTGCAGTGGTTTTTTTTTTTTTTGGCATTTTCTTCAACATAATGGCGGCGATCCCTTCACACTCGTGATCTTCATTCTCGGGACTTTGTTTTGGTGGCGGATGTACACCAAGGCGCTTGTTTCCTTATTGAGTAGGTAGTTGTTAATTGCGCTTGAAATGGCAAAGTGATTGTCGGCAACATCCGACGCGAAACAAGAAACTTCGCGAACTTAAAATACGCCATTAGTGCGCTGGTGGTGTGGCGGGCGGTCTGTGCTCTTACCGAGGCCTCATAGCGTTAATGGCATTTCGAGCATAATAGAATACGGTGAAGGGGATCGAGACTGTAACCAGACGTAGGCGACTCTTGAGAGGAGAAGTAGCAACCCGCGCTCTACGATAGGTCGCTCAATGTGATTTCGAGAAGTTTTCGAGTTTTGTTTTTGAGACGTTCCTTTTCGTCACTAGTGAATCCCAAGAGTACCTCCGCTATGGAGATGTGTAGGACGATTTCACGACCTACTCACATGATATCATTGCAGAATATGTTTTTTCATAGAAAAGCCCCACCACATGGATGACCTCTTTGCGGGTAATTTCAAGACACTCCGCTTGCGCGCGTGTTATAATATGCGACGAAAGCGCCTTACTGTGCATAGAACTTCTGATGACACATCGGACTACCCAAAATGAATAAACAGAATGATGACCATTAAATAACCCTGCAGTAACTCTTTCAAGTTTTTTTCAGGGGGTGAGATCTGCTGCATTAATCTGGAGAGGACTACTCGCTCTCTTAGCAAATGGTTCTGAACAGACAACTGTTTGCCACCTTTATTTAGGCATATTCTATCACAAACCACTCGATGGGGGATCGCGAATGAGGAACAGATGTGTGGCGGTGGGCTGAGCGTGTTAATTACATAGACATCATCGAGGGGCTGGGGACCGGACGCAAACGTCGTGTGGCTGCGTGGGCCAAAAGGCAGACGCTCTAAGATGCACGGTGAATGGCGATAATATGATGGGAGCGGATAACGACGAGCAGAACTACAGCAGTAGTCCCGGCTAACCAAATGGCTACGTACCGAAAATGTCTACTTTTCGTCCAGATGGAATGAAAGGTAGAAAGTTGTCTCATCCTTGTGGTGACGCCATGTATTCGGTTAACGGACAGGGCCTTGAGGCGCTGAAAGAACAAAGGGTGTGATGGGGTTGAACTGAATGAATCAGATGAGACGAAGAGACGCATAAACAGCTTTTGAGTTTGCTCAGCCACACGTTGCACC